ATACAAGCTGTACACTGACTACTTTTCATTGTATCAAAGTGTCATATCTTCAGTGTTATCCCATGAAAAGATAAAATAAAATATTTACAAAAATGTGAGCAGTGTTTATAGTATCTCACTTTTGTCAGATACTATAACACCCCTCACTATATGGGAGATGTTTTAGTCTGAGGCGTTTCTGGTGAAATTTAAACAGTAAACAGAAGATGCACTGACAACATTTGGAATAACTGTATTATCAGTGTATGAATGTGTGTGTGAATGGGTGGATGACTGAATGTGTAAAGGGCTTTGGGGTCCTTGGGGACTAAGTAAAGCGCTATACAAATACACACCATTTACCATTTTTTTAAATGAAATTTTGAGTTTACTTTGGAAATATTGACCGGAAATCGTTTCGTCCTATTTACTGTTTGATTTTCGAAGGGAATTGAACCGACATAATTTCGTTTATATCGCAGTTACATCAGTTTTCGCTGGGTTAGTTGCAATATTTTCAAAAACCGAAATCAGATCTGTCCACAAACAAGCTCTGATTTTGCCGGAAGTCATTTTCATTCCGTGTAACTTGACCCGTGGCTCGTTCTCCTCCCTGTTGCTATGGTAACAGGGCTCGCCCAGGTGGAGCCACTGGCTGGCGTCTTGTCGGTCACGTGGGGGTCTGAGGAACAGTAGAGAAAGTGGTATCTACATTCCCATTAACCGCAAATTCATGGAAACAAGCAGCTGCACTGTGATTTCTCCTCGACGAACGATCAGATGAAATTACATCAGTTTTTTCTTCCGTGGGGCAAAGTGCTTTAACGAAGACTGCTTTTAAGTCACAGCGGTCAGCAGTGATTAAGAAAAGAAATGCGGCTGTTTACAGACATTATATGGTGGAAAACAGGTTTACTCACTGTGACATTTCGCGTTTTTTCCCTCTGCTGTATTCTCTTGTCTTGAGGTGGCTGTCTTTTAGACACGGCGTTCCGTTGTCTCTGCATCCTCTAGCATGAACTTGTAGCGTTGACGCCAGTATAAAAGCTACCTGCGAGGACGTGGGCAGTCCGCCATGAAAATGATGCATCATGGAATGTGAGCGTCTAAACTTTAAGCAACAATTCCACGCCGCGGAGAGTAAAAACATGGAGGTGAGGCAATAACCGACTGAGGCTGATGAAAAAGAGCCTCCCTCAGCTCGTTTTTTGTTTTTTTTGGTGAATGTTTGACTCTGCTGGTCGTGGCCGACACACGCATCCAAAGGACCTGCAGGGGGACGGGACGTCAGTGTGTGTGGTGATGCTTCTTCTCTATTTTTTTTCTGGTGTCAGTTTTGGTTTCTCCAACAAGGTCTGCGCTATTCCGCAATGGCTCGATTTGAAGACGAACTGTCCAGCCGCTATGGAGGCGGCTGTCCCGCGGCCCCTGCCAGGGGGGGCAGCCGGCAGCCAGGGCCTCCGGGTGGCCAGAGGATGTACAAGCAGACGATGGCCCAGAGAGCCAGGACCATGGCCATTTACAACCCAATTCCAGTCAAACAGAACTGCCTCACCGTCAACCGCTCTTTGTTCATCTTCAGCGAAGATAATGTAATACGGAAATATGCCAAAAAGATCACCGAATGGCCATATCCTTACAACCCAGTAAACCCCCAGATAAGCCGCTCTGTCCTGTATAAAACCTGCATGCCTGACGCCGAACTCCCAGGAAATTTTAAGGGGCCTTATTTAGAGGCAGAAGAAGCCGGCATCCAGAATACTGTTTATTAATTAGTATAAATATATATTAAGAAAGCAACAATAGGTTCAGCTAAAATGTAAAACTTGCACAGCTGGCTCTATGGTTGTTTCCAGTGTTGGTCACAAGTCCCATGCTGCTAAATGCTGTAGTTATGAGGGTTTTTTTTAAAATATATATATAATATAGCACATCTAGGTAAGAGCTGAAGTTTATGTGTGATGACATGACTATATGGGCTTGCTCGGTAGATCCTTTTCTTGTCTTCTGGTGAATGCTGTGCTCTGCAGATGGTGCTGTCCAGGGTACTGAACTTCAGCAATCTGCAGGCTTTCCTCAGCAGTGAGGCGGTGGCACTCTGCATGGGTGTGACACAAAACAAACAAGCGCTGAAATGCAGCAGGTTTCAGGTTATAAAGCAGCTCATGTCTGTTTGGTAAATGTTGTGCACAGTGAGTGAATGCCACCTGCTGAGCTTTGTATGCTGACCAAAATCATTTCTTACTGGTGTGCATTTTGATTTTTTCTGAGGAAAAGTCCCTGGAAAGACACCTGTATATGTGCATGAGTGTTCATGCAATTAACTCACATTTAGTTGTGGAAAAGTATCCATTGCGTAAGTCACTGGTTGGTTAACCTCAGGTATGATAAAAGTTTTCTTTTATCATTTTTAATGTCACAGTGCATTAGTGAGCCATTTATCCTGGTGCGCTGCAGGAGGATTTACTGTGGTTCAAAGCAGTTGGAGGCCTGGTGGCTGGAATCCATTGGTCTCCTCCCTCTCCTGAGGATCCTCTCCTACTGGCAGAGCTGTATCATCCCTGAGGGGTACACTAATAACACGACGGCAGTGCAATGTACGGAGCGAGATACCCAAATGAGCGGTACAAATCTGCAATTAATTTCTTTTAAAAAGCAGACGTTTAATTAAACACTGAAGAACTGCTGCATGTCACCAGATATGCATCACCAAGCTCCCACCACACTGGAGACTTAGAATGGTGATCACTTTGGGTTGTCTTGCTTTTGTAAAAATCAGGGAGTGTATTAGAAGATAGATATAGCTCTCTAGTAAGCTCTTTAGTAAAATAGTACGACTATATTGAAGGGGCACGTCGTGAAAATATTTAGTTTACTGTACTGTATTTTTCTGTGGGTGTAGATGGAAAAAGTAACCATCTATACACACAATTATAATCAGGAGTTGTCATCCTTGATTTTTAGTGTACAAATTTGACTGGAAGTGTTTGTTATAAGTGACCAAGTTGAGGTCTGCAGATCATGAAAAGGTTTTCCTCAACTCGTGTAAGAACAAATCTGGAAAGATTAGTTTTGTAATGTAAAAGGTTACATTATTAAATTGTAATAAGTAATGCAATTAAATTTAAATGAAAGGAGTACAACTTATTTCAGTTAGTTTGGTACAGGAATTGCAATGCTAGGTGCTAGGTGTTTGGCAGATGGGAGGTAGTGCATATTCAAACTATAAAAAACCCCACACAGTTCAAAAGAATGCTCTAAAAATATGACAAAAATGGCATTTATGACAAACAATGTAACAAAGGTTATATTTCAAATGTAATCCACATACACTGCAAGCTTTTTATCAACATCGCAGTTTTACTCTGTAGTTTTTAAAACTATTTTTCCCAGTATCTGACTACAGTTACATTTATTTTCTGAGTTCATTATAGAACTCTGTTGTATTAGAACTGTTATATATAATGGAAAAAAAATTTCCATTACTGTTTCATTGACTTTGTTTGCAGTACAAATGTAAACATGAGAAAACCAGATATCAAAATTTGAGCCCATAATACCAAATGACTGAACCCAGTCTAGATACAGGGATGCAATCCTGCCCTTTATTCTTCTGATTATACTTACATTATTTGTGTAATTTTATTATGGAGTGCTTCCTGCATAAAGGAGTTTCTGTGCTTCCTCTTCTCCCTAAAGCAGCGTTAGCTTCCCATTTCCAATATTGTTATAGCAGCAGCAAGAGGGAAAGGGAACATTTACAAGATGGTGGTGCTGCCAAAAACACAGTAAGCTGAGCTGGAGTTGGGAGACTTAAGTAAGTTAAGATTTTCAATGGAAGTAGATATATTGGATGTTGAAGATGAAGCTGCTAGGCAGCAGGGAAAGAGAGAGACCACAGAGTAGCACAGGAGGATGCTAGTTGTTGGAAGAGATGGAGGCAGATGATCTGCTGTGGCAATATTACCAGTTAACATAAAAGGATAGCTTTGGTTGACCTATGAAGTGATAGCAAAAATGCTGGTGTGTCAGCATTGCTCCGCCCAGATGATTAAAACTGAGCTAGGAACTGAACTTGGAACTTTAAAAAAGTGTTGTGTTAGGAAATAATAAACAAACAAAACACACTGAATGCTATACTGAGTCAGTCCTTGAATATATTTCTGCCACAAACTCACTCATCATCTACCCAGTTCTCGTCATTCTTACTATAAAACCCTGATGGATAGGGACATTAGTTCATGAACTATTTCTTCTTCCTTAATACATCATTTCCAAGTTGACACTTAGTAGCTGTTTTACCTGCTCTGTTGTCTAACCTTCCATTGATTTCTCTTGGTATGACAGAAAGATGATGACAAGCAGGCTAAAAGCTTTATCACTGATGGATGAGGTAGCCACCAAAAATAATAACTGCTATGAAATTTAATTGTAGCTTCAAGTGCATGCACTCTGTTTCTTTGAATCTTCTCCAGTATTCCTCTCCAATCATTTCAACAGAAAGAGATGTCTGGTGCCAGTGCCAAAACTTTCTATTCATGCATAATGCTGTTACCTACCAATGTAAAGGGGGGAATGGCTTTGTGTCAACCTTCGTCAGGTTTCTATGTCTTGATTTAATGTTTGCTAGTTTTAACAAGACGTCCTTAACACTGTCACTCCATTTGAGTACATGATCTTGGCTACTATTATAGCAAACTGCATTGTGCTGGCCTTGGAACAACACCTACCGGCCTCAGACAAAACCCCAATGTCAGAGCGTTTGGTAAGTAAAAAGCTGGTTTATTCTTTTATTGTGTTACACAATAGAAACAGCAGTTTGTAAATGCAAACACTGTGAGGATTAGCATTGTTATTTTTAACAGATGTCTTTCTTTTGTCTGGAATGCATGCATGCATGTCTCTCTGTAAGTAAATAGTTTCAATTCTGCAAACTCTCTGCTTCGAAAAAGTTTCTGATTTCATTCTTTCCTCTTTTACCTAACCGTATGCTCATGGGTTTGACCATTTCAAGTAGTATCAAGTATCTAAACTGAAAAGATGTGAAGATACCAGTTTTCCCCTCAGCATGGGTCCTTCCTCCTGAGCGCTGCAGGTTGTGTAGATCCATGCAGAGCTGCCTTTGATCCCCATTGTGTCATTACCACAGGCTACCCCTGCTCCACCTTCCTCCCACCGAACTCTCTTGTCAAGTCTTTCTATTAAAGAGGGAAATAGTGGGAGTTACAATGGCAGGGCTGCTTTAGAAATTAAATACCACATACCATAGATTTCATAAAATGTCTGTGTTTGCCCAGCAAAGTTATGGAGTTGTGACAAGGGCTACAATTTAAGATTATTGCTTTGGGATTGTGTAGTTTCAAAAAAAGGAATAAAAATTAAAAAGCCAAACTGAAAGCTCCCTGCTGCGATGGCCCATTGTGAATAAGGAAGCGGTTGAAAGTAGGTATCAATAGGGCTGTTCGATATAACGATATATATCGGAGGACAATATAAAAACGTCTATCGTTTCATTTTACGCTATCGTTTGTTTCGTGGTGTCACAAAATAAGCTCTTTACGGCAATATTTTTTCATCGTTTTGATGGTCACTGTAGTGGCTAAGTTCTCTCTTTCTCTTATATTAACCACACAACGGACGGACAAGCGCCTGTTTTTATGTGTTGTCGTTAGCAACAACGACAGTAAAACCATTGCGTGTCCGCTTGTTTATGTTCCACATAAACCTTTCACAATAAAGCTCAAGATCCTGTTGAGACTTTTCAAAATAAACAGAATCATGTGAAAGAGCAGATTATTTACGGATGAGAAGTAAAAAACAGCCATCAGGCGCTAAAAAATAAACCTTAGACTCAAACGTTAGAACACGCTTTTCCTCGTAGCACGCCGTGTAATAAATACTCACAAAGAAAACGGCGGCCATTACAACTTATGTCTAAAATTGTATAGTTTCATCCATTGGTTAAAACACTCGACTCCAGCTACACGACACCCAGCTGGAAACACTTCCCGCAAGTCGAGCTGCCCGAGATTCACAGAATTTACAGAAAATGTTACATTTTTGTGATTTATATCGTTATCGGGACGATAGAATTCTTATATCGGGATATGAGATTTTGGTCATATCGCACAGCCCTAGGTATCCATACAGAAGGGGGAATAATTATTTGATCCCCTGCTGAATTGGTAAGTTTGCACACTTACAAAGAAATGAACAGTCTCTAATTTTATGGTAGTTTTATTTGAATAAAGAGACAAAATATCAGCTAGAAATAAAAAATAAAAAAAACACTAAAGAAAAAATTAGTATTTGATCCCCTGCAATCCAGCCTTAATTCTGGCTCCCATAGATTTGCCGTGTGGTCATGTGTGCTCACACAGATTGCAATCAGTTAGTCAATTAAATACACTTGGTCTGTCAAAGGACATCAGGGATAATATTTTAGACCTAGGCAAAAACAGGCTTTAAAGACCATCAGCGAGGAGCTTAGGGAGAAGGTAACTACTGGTGGTGTGATATTCTGTCGCTCTCTAATAAAATTAAACGATCATAAAACTAAAAAACAAATCTATTATAAGAATTAGAGACTGTTCATTTTTTTCCAAGTGAGCAAACTTACAAATTCAGCACAAGATCAAATAATTATTTCCACTACTGTGTAGTCTTTTATATGATTTTTATAATCTTATACTCTGTTAATTGTTGATTTGGTTATTTGAAAAAAAAAAAAGGTCTGTTATTCTATTTCACTGCAAGGGAAGTAGTAGAATTCACCTGTTTGAGGTAACAAAGATATTAGTTGCACCTTTATCAACATGTAATTAACCAAAATGGTGCCTTCAATGAGATTTCAAGGCATTTGATAAAAGCAGATATAGATCACTTTTCTGGTGATCACACTACTATTTGATGTTGCCATCCAAGTCAGTGCACCCTTTATACTGATGGATGAACAGGCTGTAGCGTGAATGTAGCGTGCCTGTAATGTTACTATGTTACTCTCAGTCTCTCTGTACAAAAAGTTTCATTTTTAAGAGGAAGTTAAAATACTGCTCGAAAACGAGCAGGAGGACATCTACATGTGTAATTGCATTGCAATGGGCAAAATTGGATTAGGGTTATATTATATGTCGGAGTATTCTGAGGTGTGAAGTTGATAACAGATCGCTTAACCGTAACCAATTATTGATTAATGATTACCTTTATGATACCTTTTGGAGTGTGTTTTTTGAATAGATTGAATAGATGCCTTGACCTAAGTTTGAGTACTTTTTTAAAACCTCTTCTCACTTTAAACTCTATTAAGTTAATGGAATGATGAAGCCAAATTAATTATACTGAATCAGCCTACCAGCACTATTGTGTTATTCCTTTTACTGGGGGACACCTCTAGTTTTCTAAATCGTTTCCAGAACTCACAGATTCACAGGGAAAAAAGGTTTAGATTTTTCGTAGTTCTTTTGGTGGGTTAAAGCATCTGTAGAGCTTGCTTTGTAGAGGATCACGGACACTTAATGATCTAGATCCTTCTTTTCATTGTGTATTATTTCACATTATCTGTCTCAATCTTTATAAATTTATGTCTGCAGTTTCAGAAATCCTTTGCTGTTCTTTCCTCTTACAGGATGACACAGAGCCCTACTTTATTGGAATATTTTGCTTTGAGGCTGGCATCAAGATCATTGCCCTGGGCTTTGCGTTCCACAAAGGCTCCTACCTGCGTAATGGCTGGAATGTAATGGACTTTGTGGTGGTCCTAACAGGGTGAGTAGCACCGGCCTAATGGCTTATGTAGCTGCTAACTGACAGAGCCGATGGGCAACAGTGATTAATGAGAGGCGGGAGAGAGCTTTGTTGTGTATGTGTGTGTGTTGCATTTCTAATGATCAGTAGAGCTGAGCCATTCCAGATGGTAGGGTGTTTTCTTCCTGTCTGAATAATCAGTGTCTCAGTAAGGGGAATTGTCTGCAGTAGATGTGCAAAACAGAAGGAAATCAGAGAACACAGCACAGAAAGGACTATAATACAAATCCAGTAAAAGCTTCTTTCTTTCTGTTTTTCATCTTTAAAATCATGAAAAACAAATGCATTTTCGAGTAATAGCAAGTTTTGTTTTTTTCAGGGGATTGTGTTGAGTTTAAGGCCATGGCTAGTTCCTTCTGACCACTTTGATGAAAGCACTTAGTTGTGGTTTTAAGAAATTTAGAATAGATGGTACAAACCTTTTTGGAAGTCTGTCTCAAACATGCATCAGTTTCTGTCATGTTTGTGTTGAAAAATTTGGCCAAGTTAACAAAGGATATATCTACACTGTAGATATTTCCCCAAAAAATGTAAGCAGAAACACAAGTAAAGTTAACTTTTTCATAGAGTCAAACTGTAAGAGTTTAGTTTACTTTGTTAACGTTGTATTTATTCTTGTGATTTTGAATGCTAGAAGCCTATTAAACTTCTATACTGCTATACAGTTTAGAACTCTTAAAGATGTCGAAGAAGCAAGCTCCTTTAAGCAATTACTTTGGTGTTCCTCCACCTCGAAAGAAATTTCAGAAGTCCGAACCGCAAAAGAAACGCGTATTCTCGGAAAAGTGGTTGCAGGAACAAATGATGAACGCACAGAGATGTATTGCAGAATATGCCGTGAAAATCCCACTCTAGCGGACAACTTCTTATCTGGTGCGCGTTTTTTATTTTGACAGCACATGCGCACCTGCGGACCACTTATGTGCACCCCTGATTATAGAGGCATGCGACAGGTAGCATTGTATGACATCAGCAAGTTGTGGTGCCTATGTTCAATTTCTAAAACTTCTGGTGTTTTTTGTTTGCCATGTATGAAGAATCTATTTCGTCATCACCAGTTTTTAGTTAATCTAATTTTTATTATTTATTTTCTGAGTTAATATTTATTTGATTAGTCAGCATATTAAAATGATACATTTTAGTCTTCAGATAGCTTATTTCATCTAACAAATATTTAAAATGCAGAAACTCAGGAAATGAACGTTATTATTTGTTTATAGGTAAGACGGCCTATCACTGGGCTGACGTCTTCTAAAAGTATTGCACTGAAACCAGATGTTACAGGCCATTATCATCTGACACACTACTTGTTTCTGTATCTGAAGGGAAAAAACAATTGTCTGATGAACTGGAATATCTGATTTTAAGTCGCCAGCTATTAGTATCAGTTTTAAAACTCCTATGAATCGGGTTCTACCCTTGATGTTTATTTGTACCTTATGAAGGTCAGTCTGGAACTTCAGGTAAAAAATTTCTAGCCCCTTTAAAAGTGATGCAATGCTTTTGCATCACTTTTAATTGCTGTTGAAGTGTGGTAACGGTGAAAAGGGAGAGGCTGTATTGTGGGGGGTTGATGCTGGAAGGGCAGGGATCAGGAGACTGCTGTTATGCTGCTGAAAGTCCCTGAACACGTGCTAGCTCCACTGGGGGACAGGCCAGCCTCTTTTACGTAATGATACAGAGATTTATTTGCGGCATCTTGGGCTGTGAGGAGCCTCGTTGCAACAAACAGAGCCTCTGCCAATTCCCAAACCTCTCATCAACACCTTAACCTCTTGCTGGATATCACTAGGAGTCAGTGAGACTTTTGTTCCTGTTAGCTGGAAACAAGGAAATATAATAAATGTCTGGTTTGCTAATATGTGCCTGAGATCTGCTTGTTTGCATGTTGCATCTTTATTGTAGAACCAAAACCTTTTGTGTTCCGCATAAATACTAAATATAAATATGTTAAAATTAGCAAATATAAGGATTCTTTATATAATCAGTCAGTTATAACGATCCCACGTGAACATCTCAAACTCTGTCAATTTTCTTGTTCCATAGCTTTAGTGTATCTAATGAAGCTATAAAAAACTTTATACTATAAAAATTGTCAAGTTACAGGCCTTCAAAGTACATGCAGAGAATTTTGCACTTGTTCATCCTTTTTGAGCCTTCCTAACATAGAAAGAGCTGTACTGGGAGCCCAATCCAGTCAAAAATATTTTCTTGATAAGGATGGAGGATGGGTTACACTGCCTTACATATAAATCTAGTTATCTTCTGATGATGGCCTTTTTTCAAGCCATAGGCTAGTGATGGAATACTGTGGAATTAAAAATAGGCTTAGCATGTGCATTACACAATAAACAATTTCTATTATATACTTATGAATAATAGAAACATTCTAACATATGCAAAATGTATGCAAGGAACATTTCTCCTAGTAAAATGCTTTATTTGCATAAGTACCCACAAGTGGTATATGTGCATGTACGGTATGAAGCATAAATCGTGTGTTGAGTGTTGAGGTTATTGACAGGTTGTTAGAGCCTTTATGCAGCCAGAGCATTTGTAAGACAGACAGAGAGAGAGAGAGAGAGAGAGAGAGAGAGAGAGAGAGTGTCTGTGTGTGTGTGGCTGGGTGTGGATGCAGCTCAAGCAGGCCTGATTAAATTGGGGCTGAACAGGCTGGCATGTCAGCCATAATTGAAGGGTTGGGTGGTGGATAGAGGCCATTACAGCCGTGGTCTGATCATTTTATCAGGGCCGTGCTACACTGATGGGTTGAGCCATGTTTTCTGGACAGATATCAGATCACTCGTGCAGAGTGCATGCAGCTGAACACACACATGCAGGTAGTGCACTTAAGCATGCTTGTACACACATGCTGGACAATCATTTCTCAGTGATGATGTCCATTTCCTGCAGGATGTGCTGTGTGAAAACCCATAGCAATCATGTATTAGCAGTGACTCATTGATTATCAGCATTCACCTCATCTGAGCAGTCATCTTAGCAGGTTGTTTGTAACTTGAGTATAACATGACCTTTCATGGTTCACTCTGTTGTGCTTTCACAGGTTGCAAATGCCACATCCTCTCTTCCATGTAACATGAAAGATTACATAGAACACTTTGATAATAAGGAATTATAATATTATATTGTAGAAGCAACAAATACATTAACTACGGATTTATGTAATTTTGGCAGTATTGCACTGACAGAGGGGAAAAAATTGAATTTTTATAATATCGGTTGTAAAACTCTCCTATGCTGTAAACTGAGGATTCTACTAGAATAGCAAGGACTAATATAGAGGCTGATATAAAACACCTTAGAGTGTAAACTTATTGTGTAATGTACTGCCAGGAGATCTGTGGTTTGCCTTTGTTAGTAACACAGTGACAAGGATGCCAGTGTTGTGGCTCTGCTTTTTTTGCTCTCAAATGGTATCGGTGAATCCAGTTAACATGCAAGCTGTGTGACTGCAGGTCACTCATAGCACACTGAATTTACTGCAAATACTGTCCAGTATTTTACCAAACTGCTATTGATAAAATGAACAAAGTCAAGGCAGTCAACAGAAGGAGAGCTTCCAGGGAAAAATAGTGACAGCCACGATCCTTTTCTGGCTCTAGTTGATCTAAGTGGTGTCTCTGGCTTTTTTTCTGACTTGCATTTTGCCACTGCAGATGTTTGCCACTGCATTTGCTGTCAAACTTCACAAACTGGTTGAAACAACACAATATTGCCTCCACCCAATTTTCAATGAAAAACATCAGCACAAATAATGAAAAGGAGCTAGGAGCTTTGTTTTTATTCAAGTCAAATAAAAAAAA